TGTTTTAAAATTTTGAGGTATACTTGACGAGAAGATGTTTTGTAATCTTCCATGCCATGAACGTTACATATGACCTTTTTAGGAACATTTTAATTCATTTGGGTGCATACAACCCTAGCGGACAGGGCCCGAGCCTATCAACATTGAACCGGTTTAATTCAATGACGTTATGTAATTAGTGCCTCATTAAGTTTTTGTCAAAAACATCCTAGCATTTAGAAATTATATAAAAAAAAATGGCAAGCTAACCGAATTGACATTAAACACACAAAAAAATTACACATAACGCTGAAATTGCTTAGCTGTGCTATTTATTTACTTTGGGTTCTGAATATAGTCAAAACGATTATATTATAAAAAGTAAAAATTTAATGGTATCTTATTATTCTATCTCATATTACAGCCCACAGACAATGCATATATCCAGATTTTCCATTTTTGTAAAGTGAAAACTATTATGAAAACCTCGATTTTTCTAAGTATAATTTATATTATATTTGGCTTTAAGTCCAACTTTTGATACCATATTTCATGCTTTAAATATTTTCAATATAAAATACATAAATAATAACAAAAACGCATGTTTTTAATGTATTTTATTCTAAGTACGTCCATAAAGCTGCAATGTATCTTCTTTATGAACATTTACAGTCCTAAAATTACGCGATGTCAAATACATAAATATAAGAATAAAGATATTATTTTTGTAAAATCGTTAATCACAGTATATACTAACAAATATAATGGAATGAATTATTAATTTTATATTTTAATATAAATAGATTAAAAATTAAGGCAATCCTGATTTTGCAAAGAAAACAAATCTTTTTGTCAATTACATACGAACAATAAATTTCAAAGCTTTTATGGAGTTTGAAAGCACAATAGTATTACAAGAAGAGTCAAAAATAGTATCTATTAATTGTACTGTAATATAAAACCTAAATCAAAAATATTTGTATGTTATGAACATTGGCTCAAATTTAAAATTAATGTTACTAGTCAGAAAACTATTGTACATCTGTTATTTCTAAAAGAAATGCTCGCAGACTTAAAAAACTAACAGTACATAAGTTATAAAATTACTAACGACTTACGATTATGTCAATATTAAAAATGTATTACAAAAATAAATTTAAAATATGGAATGAATTAAAGATTTGGAATGACAGAACATACATTAATAACTTAATTATTACTCTAAGGTTAATAATTTTGAAAAAAGACCTATAAATAGAGATTCGAGTGACTTAACAATACTCGTATTAGTTCTTTAACAATATTTTACCCTTACTTTTATTGACTTTATTACTTAACCAAATAAGTATTATGTATGTTGAAATGCTAAGAATAATTTAACGAACTAACAAAAAGTTTGTTTAAAATAAATACGCTCCGTTCGTATTTATCATTTACGTTTGTTATGTGTGTACATTACGTTCGTAAATCAATTATGCAAGTGGATTTTAAAGGCACGTTTACGTGTCGCGTGTTGCCGAAATTGATCCCGCTTTGATTGGCGCCTTTGTTAGAGCCGTATTGGAGTGAAATAACACCTTGTCCTGCTCTGAGTTGCTCCTCGGTGAAATTACGTACATTTTTCTCAGCCTCTTTTGGTCCTATTGACGGCTTTCCGTAGTTACCGGCTTGCAACGAAGGAAAATAAGATTATTAAAAAAAAATTGAAATTATGAATTTAATCATATTTTGGCCTTAAGAGCCCATACTACCTCAGCTCTAATTTTGCCCCCACTTCCCCTTTAATTTTTCGTACTAACGTAACGGCTACTCAAGCTAAAAATTTTAGTATAAGTTGACCCCTCAGTGTACGGAAAGCATATACAATGCGAGATCAGCTTATACCGGTAATGTATCTCTGTAATATCGTCAAACATGGGTTCATCCCGCTACAGATGCCGCAGCAGACTTTCTGTATATATTACTCTACTCTATGCAGCAGACTGATGGAATCCTTAAACAAATTGAAAAGGATAGCGCTATTACTACCGCGTGCAAAACTAGAGACAGAAAGAGAGTGTGCTCGCTTAGAGTAAAGTAAATAAGCGCCCAATCGCATAATTGCTAATTATGAGAAGGCCACGTAGAAAAATAAATAACAAATCGTCACGATTTGAGAGAATATTATTATCTGTCTATTACGTTAAAAATCATCATTCAATTCCATAAGGTTTTAGAGATCTAACTCAAAATATGTGCAAAACGAGCTTTTTCTGTATTTTTTTCTATCAAGAATTTTATATCAAATCGTGTTTTCGCTTCAACAGATTTGAAGATTATAAGTCCAGGTTTAATGTGTCCAAATAGCAAACTCTTAGGTCTTATAGATACCGAGATCCAGATCGCTCAATATCACCAAAACAGCACATCGTATGGACTCTTAAACATTAAATGGCCAACCTACACGAGCTTAGACAAATACTAAACATGTACATTAGAAATAAGTAGACTCCAACGATTTATTTTTACTTTTATCATTGTGTGAATAAAACACGGTTTTCATTTATACAGGGTAATAAATTTTTCAAAGAGTAGCCAAATTTTAAACTTAAGTCAAATATATAAACAATGATATGATGTTATTGTATTTTGTGAAAATACGAGTAAATAGGGCTTTTCTACTTTAATTTGAAATTATCCCAGATTGAATGTGATTTTTGGGCAACAACGTTTTTGCCTACCGATCGACCTCTACGAATGTGCGTGCGTGCGCAGTAGAAGCATTGACTTATATATTACTCTTCTGAAATCATTGAGTAAAAGCTGTCAAAATAATGCATTACCACACATATTTATACGTGGTAGAGCCACGCTGTAGCTATTATGGTTGTAGCATGAATGGGTCGGCTCGACCGGGGAAGGACCACGCTCTCACAGAATACCAGCGTAAAATAGTAGCTTAATGGTGCTGTGTTTCGTATGGTGAGTGTTGAGAACCGGAGACTCGTTTTACTGGAATCGAGGCGTTCTATCTTAGTCCTCAAGGGTGACAACGCATCTGCATTTTGATTCTTAATCTAGGATAAATGTAAATGTCTATGGGCCACAGCAATATATAATATAGCTGCAGCGTGGCACTACCACGCATAAAACGTTAATAAGACATTTAATATAAGACACGTAATATAAGATATTTGTAAGAGTTGGTAGTTGCCAACGTCACTTGCGCGTGATAAACTTCTGCCAACTGATAGACGAAGCACTGTCTTTGAATTGGTGCGGGAAAAACCGTTTAAAAATGGCAACACCAAACGAAATTGCCAATTCTAAATTATTAGTCCGAAGGTATTGGATCTATGCTTCATACGTTCCTCAATACGCGTGACTGCGCGTGACTTCCTCAATGACGCGTAAGTGTGGTGAAAATGGGCAACTATTACAAGACTTGCCAATAGTTGGCGACTCTTTGAAAATATCTATGTTCAGCGGAACGAACAAAAGTTAATGCTTGCAAAAAGTTCCCTCCGAAGTTAAAAAGGAACTTATGATTGACTATTTTGGAAATCATCTTTTTTATTTTATTTTTTATTGTTTTTTGGAATGAAATTTTCCTAAACGTAAATGTAACACTGCGTGAAAGTTCACAAATAATTTGGTGCGAAACGAAATTAATTATGGTCGTGGATTTAACGAACTAATTAAATAATCAGTTACACTCGTTTATCAACTTATAAATAGTTTTTTTTTAAAGTTTAAAAGAATACCTACTTTATCATACAGTGTGACGTAAAGAGGAACAAGATCCCTTCGGAGATTCTTTGTAATCGATCTAACAGCAAGTACCTACCTAATTGAAATAAGTCTACGATTCGTAAATTTAATTTAAGCTGAAATTATTAACGAACAATTATTGGACGAAATATGGCAGTGAATTATCGTGAAGAGCAACGTACATTCAGAACTTTGTCATTTGAAAATAATCTTTAAGCTTTACAATGTCAATAGGATTTGCGTAAAAGGTGCATTGCGGTAATATGTTCAATCACAATGAATTACATAAACACAAACACATGAATAACTCTCTAATCTTATTACTCTTTTATAATGCTGTTTATTCCGGCGCGTCGTTTCGAGATACAACCATCAAAATATACTTTTACGTGTTCCTAACTATTCCCAATGCTTGTTTGCTAGTTTTTTTTTTCTAATATATTAGTTATAGTATACGACATTGCGTTTTTGTCTTTGTCCTACTCCTAGTTTTCGTTTTACCATATTACCCTCACACTATATACAGTTATCACTTGTAAACTAAAGTGTAAATTGGCATTTAAAAATATCAAAGAACCCCAGAGTTTCTTCCCCGTTCTTTTCCGAGGTCATGTTTTCCGAACTGGATATTACGTTTATAAGAGCTAAAAACAAGCCGAAATCGAAAGAAAAGTTTGGAATTTAAATTTGAAAGTTGCTACAAATGTATGGTTACGTTGTTAAAACAAAATACGGTTTTCTAACAAGAAGATTGATTACACAGACTGACATTTTAGACATTACAGACATTTTACGTCTCGCGCGAACGAGATGAAAATACCGCCATTTATCGGAAACCATAAAGCCTTTGCGTATCCTTACAATAAGAGAGGCCGTGTGCAGCAGTGGAATTTTATGGGCTGATGATGATGAAGAAGAAGATGTGATGGTAGAGCAACGTTTCAGTCTATTATAGCTGCAATGTATTTTAAAATATTACGACAGCAGCACGAATGAGTCTGCTCGATCGGGTTAGGACCACCCTCTCAATGAATATCAGCGTCATATAGCAGCTTAATGCTGTTATGCTTCGTATGATGAGTACAGAACTGAAGATCCTTTTTACTAGTAACGAGGCATTCCATCTTATTTCTCACGGGTGACAACGCATCTGCATTTTGATTCTTAATTGGGGGTAGATGTAGATGTCTATAGGCCGCAGCATTTATTTACCATCAGGTGGACTCTGTGCTCGCTTGTCAAGCTTATTCTATATATAAAAAAAATGCGGTTTAATTAACCTTTCTCCCGAGCGACTGCAAGCAAATAACCACAGAGTTCAGGTTCTGTCGCTCCCAAAGTTCGACCGTCTGGAATGTTTCCTGCGCCGGTACGCCGAGCTGGCGCGCCGCTTCCAGGAACGCGTTGATGTTCTCCATACATTTGAACGCCATCTTCGATTCGTTCACCTTCTTCACCATTCCTGGTTTGATGTTGTTTACAAGCCTGAAAATACAAATTATCACATTTACCATTGTATTACTACAATTGTTGCTGCCCGCGGCTTTGACCGTATAGCGCGTATATGAAAAGTTAAGACGACTATCAAAGTTAAAACTCTCTTCTTCTCATTTCTAAAAGGGTTTTAGAACAATAAGCTGCGCTGTTCCATTGCGTGTTGGTGTCCAAATATATTTTATTTCTCAGATATGCGCTTTTCCTCACGATGTTTCCATTCACCATAGTGCACATGGTAAATAAACACTTAAAATTGCAACCAGGTTAAATTTATTTATTTGTTAAAAGTTTACTGTTAATTTTTTAAGATATTAAAATAACAGTTAAATATATTACTTACTGTTGTAGTAAATTTATACTTTTAACCGGTTGTGTTAATTTTTTGCTTCTTCTCTTTAATAGCTACAGGACTCTTTAGTATTAAAATATTATTAAGCTAGGCTTTAAAGGTTTATTAATTCAATATTTACATTATATTATGTTATAATTTACAATAAATTGTTTATTACTTACAGTGATTATTATGTATTTAGTATTTACATTTAATATAAATGTTTTATATTTTTTTCCTTTAATATTTTTTTATTTTATTCCTTTAATATGTAACATTACGTATAATTCTATGTAGACATGATTATTAGTTATATTTTATTAATGTTCAGAAATATTATTTGTGCTACTTTAGCTGTGGTTAGTCTTGTCATTCCATCATTTATTATGTACTTAGCTTTCGATAAAACACGTTCACAGGAAACTAAAGTGACCGTAATATGATATCAATTTTTAAAAATTTGATACAAAACTGGGTATATACTATATTTATGCGTCCGCCACCACGTCAATAGTCAAAACTTTCGTGAATTTAGAGTATTTAATAAACACAGACTTTATAGAAAAATCCAACTTCTTTAAGCATAACTGTGTATAAGTGTATAAGTGGCTGCCATGAAAGTAAAAAGTACTTTGCATAACTTAGATAAGCGGCTGCAGTTATGACGTCACTGAAGTCAAGTGGTCTCCACTATACCAATCTAAAAAGAGACCCTATAATATTATTAGCTTACAAAAACAGATGTTTCATGTAATTATTGGTATATTTTTCAGGTATTATGTGCACTGTCGTTCCTTGCTAGTAGTAGTTACCAAAGAATATGCGGCAAAAATATCAACACTTATGTGTCGCAGCCTTCACTGTCCCGCTGTGTTCATGAGGTTGAGCTTGTGGAAGCCCGTCCTTCCCCGGCCGAGCCGGCCCCCATTCGTGCATATTTTTAAAGGTTCTGCTGAACATAGGCCCGCAACACAATTCCATGCTTTTTTTTTAAATGGGAATGACAAGATACTCCCTCTAAAATGGAAGAGGCTCTTAATGTGTTCCTTAATATTATCCTCGTGAACCTATATACTCGTTGCCAACGAAATATCCAAAAATGGTGCTGCAACACTAGCCCAAACTTCTAATCAAAATGAGTCGACAAGAACTAGGAACAAATGCAATCCGCGGGATATTTTTGATCAAATAATAGGGGCACCTTCTATCACAGGCACTCCATTATCAAAAGCCATAAAAGAAGTGGACACCTATTTGGCTGATGACTTATTACCAAGGACAAATACTTCTGGTGACTGGAACAATTCTTTGGAATGGTGGAGAACTCACAATTTTATTTATCCAAACTTGGCCAAAATTTACATAGAAAAATGTAACATAGTCGCAACATCAGTGCCGTGCGAAAGAATGTTCTCCAAATCGGGGCTGATTGTCAATCAAAGGAGAACTAGACTAACAACTAGCAAAATAGAGAAACTGCCATTTTTAAATGTTAACTTAGATGAAGACCGTTTTGCAGGCTATGAAATTTAATATGTAGGTAATTGTAAATAGAACAAAGGAAAAAAAAAACAAAAAATATTATGATTAATGTAAATACAATCAGATCAGATGATCTTTTAAGTACGCCTGGGTACTATATTTACACAGCTAGTCCTAAGCCTGGAAAAAGTAAGAAGGAAAGGTCATTCCAGTTGAATAAAAATAAAAGTAATCTAAATTCTTATTAAATCAATAATCATCAACTTAAACTTAATTTGTCACAAAATTGTTATTGATCGAAAGCGTTGGAATATTAATTAAATAGAATTGCCAACAAATGAAGTTTTACAACCTGTTAATTATTTAACAGCTTTTTAAACCTGTTAACCTGTTGACCATTAATGATTAACAGTTAAATTACATACATTTAGAGATGAAGCGTATATACTAGAACAGATCCAGGGACTAAGTATTTAACGAGACTAGGTTGCACCTATTCCAACTTTTAAAATACTTGATCCATCTAGTCTCACTGTGCCTACGCGTCGTACTCGTATTTTATTACCGTAGACTGTAGTTACTAGGCGCTCAACTCGGGTCGTCTTTGCCTAAATCATTAGTCTGTCAGTCATTTGAATTTGAACCAAATTTTAATGAACATAAAGGTAACGTGACGCGCACTCGTGTTTGTTGTGTAATAATATATTCTGTCCTTTTTTAACTAGACTATTCCGTAGTCTTTCTATCTTTGTCTGTCAATACTCGAGACTCGAGACTAGTAGGGACTCGGACTAGTTCAACCAAATACTTATACAAGAGTACAAGGCAGGCGAGTGTCTATTGTCAAATACGGTACGGACTCATGCGAATGTGATCTCGGTAGACGCTGTTTTCATGTTTTCATGACTACATAACACAGTATGGGAAGCGTAAACAATTTACGTTTCGATGATTATGTAATATATTTTGATGAATATACATTAAATAATTAATATAAGTAAATGTGTCATGCATGCTTTTAGTAGTATAAAAATGCGTTCATTTACCCACATTTACTAATCTATATATTTTATAATCGTTCGTAAGGGGAGTGAACTTCAGTCGTGCGCCGGAACTGACAAACTCACTTTTTATTTTTCAGAACAATTCTTTTTTTAATGTTATTTATAAGAATTATGCAAACAATATTCTAAAATAATATTATAATTAGGCTCGTTACTATTAAGATTATATGAGAGATAAATGAAAATAATCCACTTTAAATTCTCCCTTCCGTCATTAGTATGAGCTGCATCAACCAATTATAGAATTATAGCAATAGTAAAAAAAAACATAGCAGCTTAAAATCAAGACATACAAAATCAATAGGTGAGTACTCCCATTCTAGAGTTTTTCAAATAAAACAAAGATAAACATCTTTTAAAACAAATTTTACAAAATATGAAGTACTACTAAGTAGCATTTGAAGTAATTGGAAGTAAATGATCTTAATTTATTTCTCATATAACCTTAATTCTCGTAATTCAGTTACGAGAATAATTATAATAATTTTGTAAAGTATGAAGGGAAGATGTATGAATTCATTATTGCACACGTTTCAGCAGTACGCACGTAAAATATGGTACTTGAAACTATAGCGTATCCTATTCCTATTCCAACAATACTAACCTTTATATGTACTTGATACTTTATGGACTAGGTGGAACAGGTATTTGGATCGAGTATTTACACGGAATTGGACTAGGTGCACCTAGTACGAAATAGACATGTGTCAATCATGCATGATTCGTTCGTTTGAGCTGGAACACTTAAAAGTATTGATGGATCATTCATTTGTTTTTGAATGTACCAGTACAACCAATCACAAACAATTGACGGTACCTTTTTAACCGGCGCTTTGTTTGAATTGTGAATGAGCCGCAAACCGACCGAATCCCGAAAGATCTGAATGAATTGTTTTAATGTAGGGTGTACCAGTGCAGTATAATCAGTGCACGCATTCGGAAATGTTGCCAAGTTAGGCGATATTTAGCTATTTAGGCTAGTTTTAAAGTAATCGGAGCGACCAAGATTGTGATTTTCTACTAGTCTCCGAGTAGGCTATCTAAGAAAGAAGGCGATTGTAAAGGATATTTATTCTATAACCCTTTTATTAGAAAATAATAAAATGTAGATATTGCAACTGACTTCTTAAGTATTTTTTAATTCCTTTGTAGTCTACTTCTTATGCTTACAATCCTTATTACTTCTGATGAATAATATAACACTAAAGGTACCTAACATAAGTTTAAATTAAAGCATTTTCTTAAAATATTTCTTATAAAATTGGGTGACTTTTTAAAACTTTCATCTTTTATTCTGCGTCAAATTTTTGGCGACTTGGATTCGGCTAGAATAGGTAACACTACACTATTCGTACAGAGCAAGGAAAAAGGAAACAGAATTACAGATACAGAACATAGGTACTATTACTAAATAGTAAATACTAACTAATCTCTAGCTTGCTACGTATTTATTTATCTATGCTAATCTCTGGCGAGAGGTATAAAGCTATAAAGATGAAATGAACAACGAATCGAAATACGATACGTCAATCAAACAAATTAAATCGGAATCAAAGTTAGATATCTGTATTCTGGATTCCCCGGTTGTGGTCTCTGTGATGATCTGACGATGAAGTGTACTCGTAGATGGAGGATAGGATTAATTTAACGTTCTTTTATAATTGTGCAAGACTGCAAGATTGAAGTAGCTCAGTTCAGAGAAGCTGCAAAGTGCAATGCAAACGTGGAAAGTTCTTTATGTGTCATAAGAAAGCACTTTATTTTTATCAAGTAGCTACACCTGCACTGATAATAAAAAATATTGTAGAGAAAGTGATAGAGAAGGTAATAAGGACCGGATTAATTCCTGTGGCTCTAGGTCTGGTATTAGATCAGAGAACATCATTCCAATCAGCCATTAAGTTGAAGGATGAAAGAAGATTCTAGAAAAAAAAATATTGGCCAAGGAAAATACTGGTAAGATAATTAAGTAAATGAAATTAAACTTTCAGTGTTAAAATTAGCATAAGTGTATTTTTATTATTTTGATTGCTTGTTAGCCAATACAAAAAGTCTGTTTTCATTTTAGATGACACAATCATAATAAAAGGCTAAAAGATTTAAGATTATATTTGATCCTCAAATCTTCTGAGAATAAGAAATTATTTTCTTGAGAAAATACTATATTAAATCTAAAAATGATATGACATTTAGATGTTTGTTTATCTGAATGTTAACATGCAGTAAAATAATACCTATAAATGATGAATATCTCATTTCTCAGAAATTTAAATAATGAAGTTCAACTTACTAAAATATGAAAATACATTATCACTAACAATGCCCTTTTTTAGTGTAAATAAAAACGTTGAATAATATCTACTTTTATGTGAATATAACTGAAGTAAAGCCAAAATAATCATTATCTTTGTTTTTCAGGTGTGATAAGCATGACTATTGTTATACGGGATAACAAATGGAAACCCTTAAGGCAAGTTGTAACCTGTCTCATCGGATCGGAACTCATCGGAGCATGAATGCCTTTTGGACAAATTCTATAAGAACATTAGAACAAAAATATGTATATGGAACTGGTGTAATGTGATTGTTAGAATCCTAAATGGATTAGATGTTATTAGATTAAAATAAAACAACCAATTGCCACAAATAAAGCATTTAAAAATGTTCAGATGAAATTTAAAAACTAATAATTTTTATCATTATGAATGATTTTTGTTATTTGGTAAGAGACAATATAATAAAATTTTTGGAATTTTAGTTGTATAATTCTTATTTCTTATAAATAAAATTTAAAAAAAGAATTGTAGAAAGGGGTCTACATCTGCAAAGGTGACATTTGGTTAATGATTATCTCATGTTTTGGTCTGAGAATACACAGACCACATTTTATTTAACCAAGATTTTAGGTTATATCACCAAGTCTATTTAAATAAATATTTACAAGTTATAATTTAAAAATAAACATTGCTCTGCCTTATTGGGCTTCAAATTGCTACGTTTGTAAGATATAGTTAACCCTGCTTTGGAGAATATGCGTTCACAGGGCACGCTGCTGGCCATATGCTGGGAAAAATGTTTCCAAATTTCACTCCTTTTGTTTTGAGGCGTAGACATTTTAACTGTTAATGTTCAATTTACAATTTTTAAAATGAGATTACAAGCCACCATTAACCTTAGATTAAAACCACCATCACCAAATTCAGCTAAATAAATGTTATTGTTTTATTGAACACCTAAAAGAATATACTTACTAAAATATTACTGACAAAATATCTCATAAATATGTTAAGCTATTAAAAATAAACATAAGGAAGAAACGAACGAAACCTTCAGAAAACTAAACTACTTCAAGAGACAAGCAAAGCAAATCGAATGCACACTGCTCAACGCAGACTGCTGAGCTGATTACCTATAGCTGAGTATTAGGTGGTATCAAGAGTCATCATTCTCTAAACCATTTCCCATTATCTGGGGTCGGCGCAGGGGGTCGGTAGGTGGTATCAAGAGTATTTATTATATAAGGGTTTTTATTATTATATAAGTAAAATAAAAAAATATTTTACATTTAATTGTTTATTATATTTGATTGTTGCATCTATGAGTTAAAAATATCATTTCGTGGTGAAGGCGTATAAAAAAAGGACTTTAAAAACACCTTAGTTTCGTGGGGTTTACTAAAAATAACACTTCAAAAGATTTCAAGGCAAATTATTTATTTAATATGATGATTTTCTTATAAGATAAACTTTTATCTTATAAGAAAATCATCATATTAAGTACTTTGTAGTAAATAAACATTACAATCCTTATTTTTAGACATGTGAAGCCTAAATTTTATAATATTAGATGAAAACAATATCTTCTTTTTACTAAAATTGCTGTTTTCAATGCTTTGCTTTGAAATAAATAGCGCCATCTTATTCGATCTATAGTTAAAGTCAATTCTCATTTTATCGAAATCAAACCAAAATGGATGAGACTTAAGGTGGTACGCTCAATAGATGCTAGATGGCCTAAATGCAAAGTAAATTTATAAGAATCGATGAAATTAAGTATAGTTATGAATGAAATTTAAAAATAAACAAATTTATTAAATTAATAAAATATATAATAATAACAATAATAAATAAAGTTATCAATTAAATCAAATCAATTGAAATTTTTGTGTTTATGCCATCTAGCATCTTTTGGACTTCCCACCTTGAAAATCCATAAATTTTTGTTCGATAAAATGCTTTATTACCTATAACATGCAGTAGATGGCGATGATAGCATTACAAAGTCATAAAATTTTTTTTCCCATTTGTTCCCAATGGATCTTACAGACACAGAGTACTGGATGGTACTGGAGCCAGAAAGGATCCATTTGAATGATCGATCCGAATGTACCGGTACGCGTGACGAAATGTACTAGAATGATCCGTTCGCTAGAAATGAGTGATCTACACATGTCTAGTACGAAATTTACCTAGAACGACTCATCTCTACATACATTACATACTATAAATCCGTCAATGACCCATACCTAATACATATATAAACGATGACACGAGATCACCGTTTCCAAAAATACCCCGGGACGGCTGGGAAAGCCAATCCCAGGCGGTTTTTAGGGGTGCCCTGAACGATGTGTCTGCATCTATTCAAAATTTTTGTGTAGCAAAACCATACTGCGTTATAAGGTACTACAAGCGCCATCTGTTGGTGTGACATACAAATTACCGTTCAACGCCCTACCATTGATGAAGTTTACATGATTTTAAATATTAATTGCAATCGCTATTTTTTACTTTCACTAATGTCGATCGTCATCATTACAGCCAGTGGCGGATTCACACATTTGCCGCCAGTAGGCAATGAAAATTTTGCCGCCCCCACACACTTCTACAATTCAATATGATATTCTTGTTCAGAGTATGTCAATAAAATTGTAACTTTATGATTTGTGCACTATCATCCTAATTACACCACCTTTTTGCCGTAATTGGTATGATTGTTAACTAGGGGATTGATGAGTTAGTATCCAGATTATTTTTACAATCCAAAGATTTTTAGTTAAAAGCTCAATCATGTATGTACTAATAATAAGGCGGGGAAAGGTAAGGTTTTGATCACAGATTATTGATAGGTCTTCGCGCGCTCAGGCAAAGACCTATTAATAATCTAAGATTTTGATAGTACTCATATTTGGTAAATGTAATTAAATAATATTTCTTCCGCTTACAGCTTAAAAAAATATTTTGAATTATCTGGTAATAACCTGGCTAATGATGAAGTTCAATAAATGAAGTTATGAAAGCTTTGCAATACCGTTTTGCGCGATTTTTTGTTCGCGAAATCATCAATTATATCGTCGTATGAAATCTTGTTTATTAGCTGACTCCATGCACAAAAGCGCTAAGGCGCTTACCTTGTTTTGGCTTCAGGTTAACTTTTTAGCCGTTTTAAAGTTTGGATAAACGGTTTGCAAATTCTGTTTTCACAGGAACAAAGATATTAATCTCTAAATCTTAAGAATTAATTTCTTCCAAGAAAAAGGGCTTTTACGTAAGAGTTGATGATAAAAGTTCACCAATTTTACTCAAAAATGAAAAATTTTTATTAAATCTATTGGAGGCCTCTCCTGCCGTCTTTCTTATTCGGATACGAGTCTTTAAATGATGAGGAGAAATATGTTGCCCTGAAAATATCCTTCGTAGTTATTCTCATTTCTTTATCTGGTGTTTGAAATTTTATACCTGTTTCGGTTGTCTTTTTTCCCCGTCTTTTGTATACTGCTTCCACACGCTTAATTACATTCGCCTGTACTTTGAAATACTTAAATTTTAAAGATTGACAGCAGTAATCAAATCTACGGTAGAAACTTGAATTTAAACGTTCACTTTGTTTACGCTTTCCAAAAAACATTCTACACAGCAATCACTACCGCCATTTCCAGTTTTTCTAAATTCAAAAGTAGTCCCGTCGCTTCCTTTAGCGTTACAGGCTTTTCGGTACAATCATCTTTGATTGATTCCAAAGTTTTAAGGACTTTGTACCAAGAATCTCTAAAACTTCCAGCTTCGTGTTAAACTTACAAAAAAAAACATAGATTTCTTGAAGCAACATGTAAAAGCGAGAAGCTTCTCTGCAATATTCAGCAGCCGCAGTTGTTACTAAATTTAAAGCGTGAGCAAAGCAAGGAACGAAAAAAGTGTTTTGTGTTCTGAGATAATAGTAGAAAATATTTCTTTAGCTTTTCTCATTGAAGTAATATGTACTTACGTACTAGAACAGCTATCTCAAACAAAAATGTGCGCTACTCTGTGTTCGCGCGGTTGGTTTTTTTTATCATAGAATAAACATAGGTAGAATGATCCGTAGGTAATACTAGATTGTATTGTTAAATAGCTAAATTACATCGAGAACAATATTTAAATTTTGTCATTTATTTTGTATTTTATATTTGTTTATTTAATATAATATTAAATAATATTATATCACAATTACATTTTAATGATATTTTTATCTGAATATTTTAAAAAGTATCTATGTCAAATATAAAAAAACATACTAAATGTATGTTTAACAAAACTTATTAACATAAAATTTAAATTACAAATATACTTATTTAATAATATTAATTAAAAATAAAATAAAAGAATAATAAGCAGATTTAAACATGAAAAATTTAGCCTAATTATAATAACTTATATGTTTCTACAAAAAAATGTGTATAATAATATATTCGTCCTAAACTTAAGTACCCACAGAAATGTCGCATCTGAACATATTAATTTCATAATCTATATTCAATGATACGAGATGGCGTCTTAGGAATAATTTGTTTTATTATTAATTTATAATACTTTTTTATTGAATAAGTATCTTATTAACCGATGAAAAGTAATTCCTTGGTTTTACTGACATTTCTTGAATTATTTGTGCAATATCTAAGTACACAAGACGGCATATTTTTATCAAGAGATTTTTTTTAAATCAACACAACACGTGACAACTCTACAAGCGCCTAGCGAGTGACTGATTAAAGTGCAGTGCATGCACCGCAGTTGAGTGGAACAGAGTAGCTGAATGCAGTGTCTTCTCTAGTACGTAGTACATAATAGCTCAATGGCTTTTCTTTTATAATTTAAATTTTTTTAATTTCTATAAGCCATTAAAATAAAAAATTGTCTCGAATTTGCCGCCCTAGACTCCAGCCTAATGAGCCTGCTGGTAAATCCGCCACTGATTACAACCCTTCACAGGTCCGCTGTTGAACATAGTCCTTCTCCAAGGAATGCCACAAAGGACGGTCTATCGACTTCCTGGATGTCTTACCAGGTCGTCATTAACCGACGTCATCAAGTGAGGGCCCGCCCTACTCGCGAACTTTTTTCCCCATCCATTGTCGGCTCTTCGACTTATCCGTTTGGCTATGTCGGTAACTATGGTTCTACTGCATATACCTCTCCATAGCTCGCCGAGCCGCCTTGAGCTCCCTCATGCGGCCAGCGGTGTAGGAACACACCTCAGATCCATAAGTCATCACTGGAAACACGCGATGGGTGTTCAATCTTGTTTTCAAATTTTGAGGTATACCTGACGAGAAGATGTTTTGTAATCTTCCGATGTCTGCCCAACCGAGTTGAATCTATCGATTGACCTCTGGGTCGAAGTTGGCTTTACCTAAAGTAGTTGGACTATATGTCCTAGGCAAACATACGCGACGACAAATTTTAGCGTAGTGCTTCCAACAACTACCGGAATAGGTGTGCCATGGACGCTACATATGACCTTTTTAGGAACATTTTAATTTATTTGCGTGCATACAACCCTAGCGGAGAGCGCCCGAGCCTATCAACATTGGATCGGTTTAATTCAATGACGTTATGTAATTAGTGCCTTATTAAGTTTTTGTCAAAAAATACTAGCATTTAGAAATTATATAAAAAAAATGGCAAGCTAACCAAATTGACAAAAAACGAGTAAATAAAGCTTCTACTTTAATTTGAAATTATCCCAGACTGAATGTGATTTTCGGGCAACAACGTTTTTGCCTACCAATCGGCCCTTACGAATGTGCGTGCGTACGCAGTAAAATCAGTCAAAATAATGCATTAAGTATCACGCATATTTATACGTGGTAGAGCCACGCTGTAGCATGAATGGGTCGGCTCGACCGGGGTAGGACCACGCTCTCACAGAATATCAGCGTAAAATAGCAGCTTAATGGTGCTGTATTTCGTATGATGAGTGTAGAGAACCGAAGACTCGTTTAACTGGAATCGGGGCATTCCATCTTAGTTCTCACGGGGGCACTTATTACCAATACCAAACAAAATTGCTAATTCTCAATTATTAGTCCGAAGGTATTGGATCTATACTTCTTACGTTCCTCAATTCGCTTGGCCAGTGTGGTGAAAATGGGCAACTATTACAAGACTTGCCAATAGTTGGCGACTCTTTGAAAATATCTACGTTCATCGGAACGAACATAAGTTAATGCTGGAAAAGGTTAGGAAGTTAAAAAGGAACTTATGATTGGCTATTTTGGAAATCATCGTTTTTTCAAAGAAATGTTAAGTTGTTTTTTGGAATGGAATTTTCCTAAACGTAAACGTAACGCTATGCGTGAAAGTTCACAAATAATTTGGTGCAAAATGAAATCAATTATGGTCGTGGATTTAATGAACTAATTAAATAATAAGTTACACTTGTTTATCAACTTATAAATAGTTTCTTTTATCAGTATCATATATTTAACAAAATAACTACAAAATAAAAAGGATTCTCTGAAAATAGGCAGCGAAAACTCTTGCAAGAACGTTTATCGTACAGTGTGACGTAAAGAGCAACAAAATCCTTTGTAATCGATCTAACAGCAAGTACCTACCTAATTGAAGTAAGTCGACGATTCGTAAATTTAATTTAAGCTGAAATTATTAACGACCAATTATTGGACGAAATATGGCAGTGAATTATCGTGAAGAGCAACGTACATTCAGAACTTTGTAATTGGAAAATAATCTTTAAGGGTTACATTGTCAATAGAAATTGCGTAAAAGGTGCATTGCTGTAAAATGTTCAATCACAATGAATCACATAAACACAAACACATGAATAACTCTCTAATCTTATTACTCTTACATAATGCTGTTTATTCCGGCGCGTCGTTTCGAGATACCAACATCAAAGTATACTTTTACGTATTACTAATTATTTCCAATGATTGTTTGTTAGTTTTTTTCTAATATATTAGTTATAGTATGCGACATTGCGTTTTTGTCTCTGTCCTTCTCCTAGTTTTCGTTTTACCATATTACCCTCACGCACTTTATATACATTTATCATTTGTAAACTAAAGTGTAAATCGGCATTTAAAAATATCAAAGAGTCACAAAATTTCCTGCCCGTTCTTTTCCGAGGTCTTGTTTTCCGAACTGGATATCACGTTTATAAGAGCTAAAAACAAGCCCAAATCGAAAGAAAAGTTTGGAATTTAAATTTGAAAGTTGGTACAAATGTATAGTTACGTTGTTAAAACAAAATACGGTTTCCTAACAAGAAGTTTGATTATGCAGACTGTGCTTCCCGTCGCTGGTTTGAATATTTTACGTCTCGCGCGAACGAGATGAAAATACCGCCATTTATCGGAAACCATAAAGCCTTTGCATATCCTTACAATAAGAGAGGCCGTGTGCAGCAGTGGAATTTTATGGGCTGATGATGATGAAGAAGAAGATGTGATGGTAGAGCAACGTTTCAGTCTATTATAGCTGCAATGTATTTTAAAATATTACGACAGCAGCACGAATGAGTCTGCTCGATCGGGTTAGGACCACCCTCTCAATGAATATCAGCGTCATATAGCAGCTTAATGCTGTTATGCTTCGTATGATGAGTACAGAAGTGAAGATCCTTTTTACTAGTAACGAGGCATTCCATCTTATTTCTCACGGGTGACAACGCATCTGCATTTTGATTCTTAATTGGGGGTAGATGTAGATGTCTATAGGCCGCAGCATTTATTTACCATCAGGTGGACTCTGTGCTCGCTTGTCAAGCTTATTCTATATGTAAAAAAATGCGGTTTAATTAACCTTTCTCCCGAGCGACTGCAAACAAATAACCACAGAGTTCAGGTTCTGTCGCTCCCAAAGTTCGACCGTCTGGAATGTTTCCTGCGCCGGTACGCCGAGCTGGCGCGCCGCTTCCAGGAACGCGTTGATGTTCTCCATGCATTTGAACGCCATCTTCGATTCGTTCACCTTCTTCACCATTCCTGGTTTGATGTTGTTCACAAGCCTGAAAATACAAAGTATCACATTTACCAATGTATTACTACAATTGTTGCTGCCCGCGACTTTGACCGTATAGCGCGTATATGAAAAGTTAAGACGACTATTAAAGTTAAAACTCTCTTCTTCTCATTTCTTAAAGGGTTTTAGAGCAATAACGAAAAGGATTTTAGAGTAATAAGTAACATATAAGTAGTACCCAGTAACATATAAGTAGTTTACCCGTGGATCGCTAGTGCCTATGGTGGGTAAGATACCCGTATTACAGGTCACCAGGTCTCTCTACCTCTACGAGGAATGCTATTTATATCTAAAACATTAACACATAAAGATAAACTGTATTTCCTTATTTGTCATACCTAATTGAAATAATTGGTTATGGTTAAGAAAACTTAGAAAAGTGTGTGTGTGTGTGTGTGTGTGTGTGTGTGTGTGTGTGTGTGTGCGTGCGTGCCTGCGTGCGTGCGTGCGTGCGTGCGTGCGTGCGTGCGTGCGTGCGAGTGTGCGTGCGAGTGTGTGTGTGTGTGTGTGTGTGTGTGTGTGTGTGTGTGTGTGTGTGTGTGTGTGTGTTGTGTGTGTGTGTGTGTGTGTGTGTGTGTGTGTGTGTGTGTGTGTGTGTGTGTGTGTGTGTGTGTGTGTGTGTGTGTGTGTGTGTGGTGTTGTCCGGGGGGTGTTGTGTGTGTGTGTGTGTGTTTTGTGTGTGTGTGTGTGTGTGTGTGTGGGTGTGTGTGTGGGTGTGTGTGTGTGGGTGTGTGTGTGTGTGTGCGTGCGCGCGTATGTCACGTATGTAGAGATAACTGAATCCCTCTTACTCCTAAAACTTGAAGTTTTGAAATTAGGATAGGTATCGAAACAGTATCAAACGCCTTTGTAAGGTCAAGAAACAAAACAATACATTTTTGACGTATGTCTAGATTCCTGACTACAAAATCAATAAGGCTGTGGACAGCATCAAATGTACACAATTTTTTTCGAAAATCAAATTGATTTGTAGAGAGCAGTTTATTAGTCTCTAAATAATTAACAAGCCTTGTGTTAATTATTTTCTCGAGAATCTTCGACATCGTAGGCAAAACTGATATAGGTCTGTAGTTTTCGATACGATTTCGATCGCCAGATTTAAAACTAGGGTGAAATATTACCTTTTTAAACAAATCAGGGAAAATACCTGTCTGGAGACTCAAATTACAAATATATGTGAGAGGTGACATAATAACATTTTTGTGCTTCTTTAAGAATTCTGAAGAAATACCATCCCAACCAGCTGTTCGGTTGTTATCCAAAGACATAATCAAGCGTTCGACTTCACTCTCATCACTTTCAAGCAAAACAAAGGATTTGGAATAAGTAACGGATGCCGGTAATATTGCCGAGCCTCTTTCTAATTTGTCTGCCAGTGATTTTCCTATATTTGAAAAATATGTGTTTATATCTTCAACAGATTTTTGAGTATTAATTTCGTTGATGTCTAGATCAGACGTCGTTGATTGCTGTTTAGATAAATTTGTAACAGTTTGAATGACTTTCCACAGTTGCTTGGAGTTTTTGCCGGCTCTTTGAAATTCCAGCTTCTCATGATTACTTTTTGCATTTCGCAGGAGGTTGGTACAGAAGTTGCGATATCTTTTATAAGTAATTCTAGGAATCTATGAATTTGATGGGTCTATTTTCGATTTTTTTATATAATCTACCTCTGTTTTGCATGCATTTCAACAAAGCCAGAGTGATCCAAGGCTTAATAGGTCTATGTCTACAAGACAGAAATAAAGTTTTGGTATTGTTGGCTATAGCTGAAATAATAGGTTCGAGCAAATATTTAACAGCCTAGTTAGGGTCATTCGTTGTGTATACAGAGTTAAAGTTAATACAGCGTAATTCATGAGTAAGCTTATCTTCATTAATTTTTTTATACATTTACGATTACATAATTTAATTTAAATTTTTGAGAGGGCAAACATAACGGCAAAGTGGTCTGTTACAGTAGTTTCCAGAACAAGAACCTTAGCGGAAAAAGCAGTTTTTAAAATAACGTGATCAAGACTGGTAGAACCATGAGTTGGGAAGTTGTGACCAGGAAGAAGTCCATGATCAACAAGTAGATCAAGATAATCTAAAGTATTTGTAGAATGAAACCCGTTGGCAATATCTATATTAATGTCTCCTACAAGAATAATGGTTCGGTATGATTTAAGATCCGTGAGGACAAGATCCAAAGACTAAAAGAATTTTGAAGGATCAACAAAAGCATGTGGTCTATATATAGCAACAATAGCCACATCTACAGCTATAGTAATCACCAGACAGACATTCAATTGTTATAGGTTCTTTTACTTTAATATTAGATCAATGGACTTAATTATTAAATCAATGGTCACATAATATTTACAAAATTAATTTTAAAAACAGCTTGGAAGCGACCACCTCATTCCCAGGGGTTATTATCAACCATGTATTCATTTATATCATAATAACCTTTTTTATACAGTTTTTGTTTAATTTAATATTTAAACTTGGTAATAGAGACCTTGTATGTTTCCTGGGACTTTGTTGTAATAGCGTATACATTGCCCCAAGAATGAATTACTGACTCTGTTGAGTCGAGAAACTGGTATCACTAGCTTGTGTTTGTTCCTAGTGTTTACAGAGCGTATGTCACATTTTTTTTACTAAAACTACCTTTGTTTTTGTGAACATACATCAAATTTTCATAGATATAGTGAGTGGCCAAAGCTAATATATATTTTATTCTAGATATAAAAAAATGCGATTTAAAAAAACCACAAAAAAATTGCAAACAAATAACCACAGAGTTCAGGTTCTGTCGCTCCCAAAGGTCGACCGTCTGGATGTTTCCTGCGTCGGTTCGCCGAGCTGGCGCGCCGCTTCCAGGAACGCGTTGATGTTCTCCATGCATTTGAACGCCATCTTCGATTCGTTCACGTTCTTCACCATTCCTGGTTTGATGTTGTTCACAAGCCTGAAAATACAAATTGGCAGCAACAATTGTAGTAATACAATGGTAAATGTGATACCATTGTATTACTACAATTGTTGCTGCCTGCGACTTTGACCGTATAGCGCGTATTTGAAAAGTTAAGACGACTATTAAAACTAAAACTCTCTTCTTCGCATTTCTATAAGGGTTTAAGAACAATAAGCTGCGCTGTTCCACTGCGTGTTGGTGTCCAAATATATTTTATTTCTCAGATATGCAGGTTTCTTCACGATGTTTCCATTCACCATAGTGCACATGGTAAATCAACACTTAAAATTGCAAATAAATCTTCAATCACATTGGTGCTGGCGGGAACCGCAACCAGGTTAAATTATGGTGAGCACTTAGCTCTTGAGCTATTAGACTATTCAGATGATGAGTATTAACCCTGCATTTTATTACGTAGCCCACTGGTGCAGAGACAGTCGCAAACAACCGCACACGCCGCGGGCTTAAATAGCATCGTGAAGTTTTGTATGCGGTAGAGCCATGCTGAAGCTAACACGAATGGGTCGGCTCGACCGGGGAAGGACCACACTCTCACAGAATATCACCGTAAAATAGCAGCTTAATGCTGCTGTGTTTCGTACGGTGATGTGTAGAGAACTGGAGACTCTTTTTACTGGATGAGAGGCATTCCATCTTAGTCCTCACGTTGACAACGACTGACATCTGCATTTTGATTTGACGTGCACAGGAATTGGATATGTGTCCATCCACTTTATTTAAGATTTTGCGGAAAGATCTTTGTTTGCGTGCTTACAAAATCCAACTCGTGCAAGAACTGAAGCCTCGCGATCACCTGGCACGGCGTAGATTCGGTGAATGGGCACAAAATAAGATTGCCGACGATCCTGATTTTCATAAGCGAATTTTGTTTAGCGATGAAGCTCACTTTTGGTTGAATGGATATGTCAATAAACAAAACTGCCGTATTTGGAGTGATAATAATCCTCAAGTGTATGTTGAGACACCGTTACATCCAGAAAAACTGACTGTGTGGTGTGCTTTATGGGCTGGTGGAATAATTGGTCCGTACTTCTTTAAAAATGATGCTGGCCAGAACGTTACAGTCAATGGTGACCGCTATAGAGCGATGATTACCGACTTTTTTGTTCATCAATTGAACAACCACGATGTGCAGGAGTTGTGGTTTCAACAAGACGGCGCAACATCTCACACAGCTCGTGCTACAATTGATTTATTGAAGGAAACGTTTGGTAACCGCATAGTTTCACATTTCGGACCCGTGAATTGGCCTCCAAGATCGTGCGATTTAACGCCGCTTGACTATTTTCTGTGAGGATATGTGAAGTCGCAAGTCTACGCTGACAAGCCCGAAACGATTGACCACCTGGAGGACAACATTCGGCGCGTTATTGCCGATATACGGCCACAAATGTTGGAAAAAGTCATCGAAAATTGGACCTTCAGATTAGACTACGTCCGAGCCAGCCGTTGCGGTCATATGCCAGAAGTAATATTTAAATTATAATGCCAGAAGATTGTCTTTCGAATAAAGAATCTCTCTCTCTCTCTCTCTCTCGAATAAATTTCATGTCAATAAAAAAAACCATGTTTATTTTATTCCATTTCAAAGTTCTATACCTCTAAAAAAAACACCCGCTAGATTACTAGTAATTCTTATTGAAAGTCAATTTTTTACTTTACCACTAGTTCGAAAAAAAACCTCTGTCCTGGGAAGAATCACCAAGAAACCTAGCGGGACTTTTTTTTAAAATAAATTACTATGTCAATGGTCACATAATATTTACAAAATTAATTTTAAAAACAGCTTGGAAGCGACCACCTCATTCCCAGGGGTTATTATCAACCATGTATTCATTTATATCATAATAACCCTTTTTATACAGTTTTTGTTTAATTTAATATTTAAACTTGGTAATAGAGACCTTGTATGTTTCCTGGGACTTTGTTGTAATAGCGTATACATTGCCCCAAGAATGAATTACTGACTCTGTTGAGTCGAGAAACTGGTATCACTAGCTTGTGTTTGTTCCTAGTGTTTACAGAGCGTATGTCACATTTTTTTTACTAAAACTACCTTTGTTTTTGTGAACATACATCAAATTTTCATAGATATAGTGAGTGGCCAAAGTTAATATATTTATTCTATATATATAAAAATGCGGTTTAATTAACCTTTCTCCCGAGCGACTGCAAGCAAATAACCACAGAGTTCAGGTTCTGTCGCTCCCAAAGGTCGACCGTCTGGAATGTTTCCTGCGCTGGTACGCCGAGCTGGCGCGCCGCTTCCAAGAACGCGTTGATGTTCTCCATGCATTTGAACGCCATCTTCGATTCGTTCACCTTCTTCACCATTCCTGGATTGGTGTTGTTCACAAGCCTGAAAATACAAATTATCACATTTACCATTGTATTACTACAATTGTTGCTGCCCGCGACTTTGACCGTATAGCGCGTATATGAAAAGTTAAGACGACTTTTAAAGTTAAAACTCTCTTCTTCTCATTTCTAAAAGGGTTTTAGAGCAATAAGCTGCGATGTTCTGTTCTGTTCTGTTGGCGTCCAAATATATTTTATTTCTCAGATATACGGGTTTCCTCACGATGTTTCCATTCACCACAGTGCACATGGTAAAGCAACACTTAAAATTGCAACCAGTTTAAATTATGCTGAGCACTTAGCTCTTGAGCTATTAGAGTATTCAGATGATGAGTATTAATCCAGCATTTTATTACGTAGCCCTCTGGTGCAGAGACAGTCGCAATCAACCGCACACGTCGCGGGCTTAAATAGCATCGTGAAGTTTTGTACGTGGTAGAGCCATGCTGAAGCTATATCAATAGTATAGTTGTAATACGAATGGGTTGGCTCGACCGGGGAAGAACCACGCTCTCACAGAATACCAGTGTAAAATAGCAGCTTAATACTGTTGTGTTTCGTATGGTGAGTGTAGAGATCCGGAGACCTTTTTTACTCAAAACGAGGCATTCGCAATCTGTCGCTCCTGTTTTGTTGCTTGAATAATGGTTTGAAGTATATTTTGATTCGTAAAAGTGATGCGATTTTGTGAATTGCCTGCGCGTGTAAACTATTAGAGAAAACGACGACACAAGTGGTTGGATGTTGATATAATCTTCCAAAAACTGTGACACATCAGCATATTGTGACGAAAAAATATATAAAAACGAAGATTACGAAAGAAATGATAGGCTCAGAAGGGCCAGAACCCAAAGCCGTAAAGCCAGTTAATTAAAAAAATATTGTAACACTAGTACATAATATTATTATTAGTCTGTGTAGATAATCTTAAAAATTAAAACTGGTTATAACTCTAAATAAACTCTAAATCGAAGAATTTAAAAGGGGTTTGTCTATCCTACTAACTACCAATTAAAACCAAAAATATCCCAAAACACGAAATTTTATTAGTAGTACGAAACTCTAATACAAGCCCGCCATTCCCCTTTAAATTATTATAACAAATTAAATTATTCATTTGTAAATTTAAATAGTGTCTTAAATTATTTTCTTGTGGCAATCCTTGTATATAAAGAAGTGTGAACAAGTAATTTCATTTACATTTAATTAATTAAGTTGTACAGTATATCTTAATAAATGTTTGTTTCATGATTTCTTATATTTACGCGAACACTACACATTGAAATAATACTAGTTTTTACGGAATTTATCGCGTATATTTAACTTTTTAAATACCCGACGTTTCGAACGCTTTACAGCACTCATGGTCACGGGCGGGACTGAGATGTTCAACGTCCATATGTCATAGTTAACCGCGGTTACCATAGATTAAAATTTAACTTTTGTTCCGATCTATGCAGTATGAACTTATGGTATCATGAAGTCTTGCAGTTGTATGCTTGGGTTGGGAAGTCTGCAGTCTGTGAACACGTACAGGATCGCCCCCGTCACTACATCAGATTTGATAGACCGCAGATCCTCGCTAAAGAACACCGATTCCTTCCAAGGATGATTCGCGAGGCTATTGAAATCAAAAACATCCTAATTTCAATAGAGAAGATGGCTGGGTGCTACCATCTGCTTGGGATCCTATAATAAATAAAATTAAATCCCAACCCAAGCATACAACTGCAAGACTTCATGATACCATAAGTTCATACTGCATAGATCGGAACAAAAGTTAAATTTTAATCTATGGTAACCGCGGTTAACTATGACATATGGACGTTGAACATCTCAGTCCCGCCCGTGACCATGAGTGCTGTAAAGCGTTCGAAACGTCGGGTATTTAAAAAGTTAAATATACGCGATAAATTCCGTAAAAACTAGTATTATTTAAATGTTTGTTGTTTACACTGCCTCTTCTACCAACCAAAACTATTATTGTACTATTTGGACTATTATTATATTGATAATTTAGTAATTCTATAATTTTATTTAGAATGTCACTAAGAGATGCTCCAGGCATGCAGCAATTTGTAATTTTTTGCCTCTTAAAAGTGTTATTTAATATTATGCCTAAATTTTTTCCCATGTCTTCGCTATAAACAATTATATTATTTTTGATAATATTTTATTTTAATATCGTCCGTTATGATACTGTCATAGTTTTGGTGGTGATATAATATTATCAGCACACACCGACTCTGAAGAAACCAGTATTGACCGCTGACACTCACATTGATGATTTACTATGGAGTCAAAACGGTCCTCATTACATTTACATGTCTTTGCCAGGTTATCCATAGCCAGTATGTGTTCTTTAATTTAATTTTGGGCCGATTTATATTTATTGGACAAAGTTGCTAAAAAGTTGCTGAAGGGAGTCAGAAAGTAGTAAAATTTCTAGTGTAGTAAAATAAAAGGCACTCTATGTCAGTCTCATAACATTCTTTACCTAATGTTATCCACTTCAATTGAATACAGTTAAAGTTCATACATTTATGCTTGCTTTTCTTTACACACATTCACCTAATTTTTGGTATTGATCTTACTTTTTATTAATTTTTGAATTTTCTTCATATATTTATTAATTTTTATATATTTCTTCAATTTGGTTTTACTGCAATCAATCCTTACTGTTTTTCCTAAAGTGGAGTTGTCACCTGTCAAATCTATTGTTGCGCATTGCTGTAATAAGTTATAGGTATTACATTGCACAAGCTCAGAGAACAGGCTTTGAGTCTGGGAGGCTTTTAGGTTATCTTTGTATGTTTTAAGTTGTGCTATTTGCTCATTCGCCTCATTCAACTGTAACTTCAACGCAGCAATAAACCTGAGAGCTTCCTCATATTCCTTGCTGCATTGTGGAGCAAGGAATATGAGGAAGCTGGAGTTGGTTCTCCATTACTATTTATTGTAAGTAATAAATGAAAACAAAGATGGAAAACAGAAGGAGCAGAGCAAGCTAATGTCGAGTTTTTTTTAATTATTATTTACAGATCTCAAATCAAGTTAAAAGAAACTCGCAAAGAATATAAAATCCGAGAAATATGTAGACCAGATCTTTAACTAATGAAAATGATTTTTTTAAATGTTTGTCTTTCAGTTCCCTTCCTCGTGTTTTCCATGATAGCATGATGTCTCGTGATGCATTCTGACATTTATATACTTCTTATTTATGTTTCGAATAAGGTGCAATCCATGATTCAATGTTGCCGGCTGATCAACAGAGTGCAAGTTTAAAACAGTGAAAGTACTCTTTCCTATAAACTTTGCTAGAGTTTTTGTTGACAGAAACATATAGTCACTTTTTGCCATAAATTGGGGTCTATTATTGTGTCTTATATTTTTTTCGGTTTCTAGACATACATCAAACAGGTCCGGAGAAGAAAAGCAAAGTCCGCCCATATTTGTTAATTCAATCAGTTTATGAAAGAATAAGTTTTCATTACTAACCAGACTGTTTACACAAATTTCACACTTAATCTTTTTTGTTAAACTTCTGGCTACCCATCCGGCAATATACCCAATAATAAGTTCTATATTCACTGTGAGGTGCCCAAAGACGTTTTCAGTTGGGTTATCCAAAGTATGCGATAACTGTTCACAGTTATTTGAATAAACTACATCATTTTCCTCTTGATATGTATCTGTCGATGTGTCCATGGGCTTGTCTTCTTCTGCGTGACGATTCATTTCAGTGGTACAGTTAATAGCATTTACAGATGAGACAGTGTTATGTTGGAAAATTATCCAAAGGAATACTGTTTCCAGTAAATGACGATTTTAATGATAATTGATTCATGCAACGCCTATACGCTCCTTTAAGTTGTATAGCGTTTGGGTTATCATTGTATCCACCGTGCTTTCTTATCAAGCTAAAAAATAGCTCTAAATGATCCCAAGACAGGCGATACGTCGAAATGTACTTCAATTTAGAATTCGACTCAACTAAATTTAAATAGAGGAGTTTTAAACTTTCTAAGCACACAATCAATCCTAAGAATCCCATTTTGATTCTAGATTCCAAAATAATTTTTTTTCTAATAATCATCATAATTCGTGGTGGTCTGTTATGTCATTTAATCTTTCTTTTCACATTAGCAAACATTTTTAGACCTTTAATGTAACCAATAGCCTCCTCAATAAAATTGAATATTTTTTCTTTATTTTTTGGAGAAATGGCTCTCTTGTATCCAGATTGATTGAATCTGCGAGAATTCAAAATATCGAATATATTATTTAATAAACTAATGAAATCGACTGTCGCACTACTTTTTGAAAAATAACTACATTGTAATATTTCGTTGCAGAGTGTCAGTGCTTTTGCAACACTTCGGCTTAGCAATTGAGTCGCTAATTTAACTTTCATTATTTGGTTTTTAAAATATATGTGTCTGTAGGTTAATTTATTAGCAAAATTTAGCCGCTGGTTTGTTTGGAGTTTTAAGAGCCGAATCAAAAATTTCCACTATATTCGCTGATCGTTCTCGTTGAAAATTATCTTTCTTTTTTCAAACCCGTTCCTTACTAACTGTATCATGTGACATGCGTCCATGAAAACTACAATATTTACTTTTGTAACAGGGTGAGGGAATGTTGTTTTTAATTGACCTGTACTACTTATGTTGTAACCCAGAATGTTTGCAGCGTAAACATTCGTAGAACATCCTCGAATGTGAGAGCTTCGACATTGACACCGACGGAATTAAATTTTTCAAGACAAATATTAACAGTATTTGCTATAAGTTCGCTAGTAAAACCATCCACCAAAAATAACCGACTGGTATTGTCCAATTTTCAGAAATACTAACAGCATCATTATAAAAGCTTTGGTGGCTTTATTTTCTTTGTAAATTTTTTCATACTCCATGTTTACGTGACAAACATTTCTTTCGTCTTTCCATGATTTGGCCTGTCGAATGTTCATCTTATCAAAAATTAGACAGCATTCAACATTTTCTGATATATTGAGTTTAAGCATTTCAAACGATTCCTGTGTGAATCCAGGTTCGCCGTTAATGGAGCTATACCTATAACAAAGAGTACAATCAAACCTATGAAGTAAAACATATACGCGTCCGGTTTATAACACACAACTAACAAGTCTTTATTAATTTACCATTAAGTCAAGGTTCTTGGGTGAGGAAGATAACAGTCAAATTTTCGCCGTACATATTTATAGGCAGATGGAGAGTAAAAATTTAATGTCATAGCAAGTTTTCGAAGGGCGGGTGGATAAGACGGTCCCTTTGTTTTTCTTGGCTTGTTTCTATTTCTACTGTATTTATTTTTAAGCAATTGTAGTCTGTAAAGCTGTTACGAGGGTGGATTGAAAAGTACTCGGCCTAACACAGATCCATTCAATTCCAAAAATCAAATCTACCCACATTATTTAGTTCAGTTCAGACTAGTTCATTGTGTGAAGTTCGAAACATGTGCGATAATTAGTTGTGATTTTATAAATTTATTAACAAAGTAATCGCACATAATTTCCGCGAATGGAGCAAATCGAGCAGCGTGCCGTCATTAAGTACCTCCATAAGAACATTCAATCAGTACATTAGGCGATTGTGCTCTGTCATATTCATCCGTCAAAAAATGGATAGCAGAATTTAAGCGTGGTAGAGAGAGTGTGAAAGATGAACCCCGCTCTGGAAGGCCTTCGACGTCAACTACTGACGAAAATATTAAAAAAGTACTTGATTTAATAATGGGAGACCGCAGATTAAAAATTAGAGAGATAGCCGAGATTATAGGCATCTCTTATGAACGAACTCAAAACATCATTGTCAACGAGTTGGGTTTCCACAAGGTGTCTGCGAGGTGGGTTCCGCGACTGCTTTCAGTTGAACAAAAAAGGACGCGATTGACTATTTCACGCGACTGTTTGGAGTTATTTGAAGCCGATGCAGATGATTTTTTGAATCGTTTTGTTACTATGGACGAAACATGGGTTCATTACTGTACACCGGAAACAAAACAACAATCAAAACAGTGGAGAAGACCTGGTTCACCACCCCCTAAAAAGGCTAAGTCGATTTTGTCGGCAAATAAGGTGATGGCTTCAGTATTCTGGGACTCGAAAGGTGTGATTATGATTGATTATCTTGAAAGGGGTCAGTCTATAAACTCTGATTACTACTGCACCTTACTACGTCGTTTACGAGAGGAAATAAAAGAAAAACGTCGAGGAATGCTCAGAAGAAAAGTCCTGTTTCATCAAGATAACGCCCGTGTTCACACGTCAGTACAGTCAATGGCTGAAATTCACAACTGTGGCTTTGAATTGTTACCGCATCCGCCGTATTCACCTGATCTGGCACCATCAGACTTCTTTCTGTTCCCTAACCTAAAAAAGCACTTGGGAGGTCAAAGATTTTCGACAAACGACGAGGTCAAAGCAGCTGTAGACGCATATTTTGACTCTAAGGAAGAATCATTTTTTTTTCAACGGTCTAAATGCTTGGAAGGGGAGGTGGCAAAAGTGTATTGAACTTGATGGTGATTATGTAGAAAAATAAAAATATAACTGATTTAGTATGTGTTTATTTTCTTGGTTAGGCCGAGTACTTTTCAATCCACCCTCGTATTTCGGCTTTTGTTCCAAGAGCAGACTCAATGTCCTCTGTGATATACTACTTCTGTTTCAAATCTTTAATTATATATAGCAGTGATTTGTTTTTCTTTTTTAACCTAGCATTCTGTTTTTAAATTTTTTTTATTTTCTTAGCTGAAACCCTTTGACGTTTTTCTAACCTATGAATTCTTTCTTTTAGGTGTACTTCCCTTGGCGTGTCAAATATTGAATTGAGATCGGTTGAAGGCCGGAGTTCTTCGTTCTCACAAATCTGTAAATAATTTATATAGATAGGGTTCTGAATATGGAGAACAAGTAAACAAAATTTATTTTACTGTAGATAAGTAGGTATGCATGAGACCAATACTTCAGTCTCCAATCGCGGTATAGCATATAGCATTGAAATATCAACATCTTTGTCACAAAAATGAGCAGAGCATACTCTTGCGTTTTTATGAGGCTTGAAATAAGGCTCTTTTCGTTGTTCCCTAATAATACGACTCCAAATCTCTTTACGTGTTGAATCATTTGGAAATCTGTAATTTATAAATGATTTGAAAAGCAATTTGTCATCGCACATGTATAAACATTCTTTATAAGTCTTCGCCTATCCATTTTTACCAGAAGCTTGATGACGGCAGCAGCTTCTTTCAGTTTGCGTGTTGAAAAGAAAACAAAATTTCAAAATAATTTATGAATCAGATTTTCAGTTTCAATTAAGTAGTTATTGTTTCTTTTGTACTTCTTTCGTTTTACCCCTATTGAATATAGAAAAAATTGGGTACCAATGTTCAAAATTTAACTTACTCTAACTTCATACAAAATAAAACAGAAATAAAAATGAAACCGGCAAATAACGAAACGTATAGATTATTCGCGTGAGGCCAATATATCGGCGCATGGGGAAAAAGAAACATGAAATGTCAAACGTGGTATAATTTTGGACAATAATATTTTGAAAATAATATAATTTTACTATCTTAATCTTGGTAACGTAACTAAGCTGACTAACTGTAAAACTGTGTGTTGAAAATGCGTTTATATAATAATTTAATTATAACAAAATTAATGTAAGGTTTACTTACCTATGGTAAGATATCCCATGTTCCTTTTTTTCCTTGTATCGTAATTTTTGCATCCATTTACAACGCAACTAGGCATATTTATGACAAGATGACAATCAAATCTGTTCTGCGCGCGTACCACTGACGAACGATTCGCGTTGGCCCTAATTTAGGGCCAACGCACTAGTCCGTTTTAGTCGTTCGGACGGCCCGGTCCTTACGCTAGTAATATATAAGTCAATGATATAAATTATATAATTAATAAAAGTAAATATATCATGCTTGCTTTCAGTAATATAAAAAAGCGTTTATTTACTCACATTTACTAATCTGTATATTTTACAATCGTTTTTATGGAGTAAACTTCACCAACTTTTTATTTTTTGTTTTCAGAACTATTCTTTTCTTTAATGTTTATTTATAAGAACTATACAAACAATATTTTAAAAAAATATTATTAATTATAATATTTTTTTACAATATTGTCTCGTTACTATTAAGATTATATGAGAAATAATATATGAAAATAATCTACTTCAAATTCTCCCTTCCGTCATTATGAGCTACTTTATACTGCATCAACCTATTATAGAATTATAGCAATGGTAAAAAAAACCGTAGCAGCTTAAAATCAATAGAGATACAAAATCAATAGATGGATGTTCCCATTCTAGAGTTTTTCAAATAAATTGACAATTTTAAGATAAATCAATTAAAACAAATTTTAGAAAATATGAAATTACATTATTTAATTACATATCCAGTAAAGAAAGTAGGTAATGGCGGAAGGGAGCTTTTGAAGTAAATTATCTTAATTTATATCTCGTATAATCTCAATACTCGTAATTTAGTAACCAGGATAATTATAATATTTTTTTAGAATTGTAGTTGTATAATTGATATAAATAACATTTAAAAAATAATTATTCTTAGGGGTGTCTACAAAGGACTATTTTGATTATTTTATGTATTGGTTTTGTTCGCGATAGATTAAAGTATTTATTCAAAAACTTGTTAAAAGTTAACTGTTAATTTTTTAAGATATTAAAATAACAGTTAAATATATTACTTACTGTTGTAGTAAATGGTCCCACATTTTACGGACAAAGGGCAACAAATGGCCGAGTGTAATAATTGTAAAATACAACTAAGTTTTAAAAGTTCTGTATCAAACCTTACAAAACACATTAAATGTAAACATCCATTCGTAAGTTTAGTTAGAAGAAACGACATTCCAACCCCAGTGATAATATCCCAGACTAACCAGCAACCACCAATATCAGACCAATCTGCTGGAATAGTTCAACAACCTGAAGGTGAACAACGGCCGTCCAATAACTTGGTGCGATTAGTACAACCGGTTGCGAGAACTATAGCTTTATACATATATAAAAAAATGCTGACAAATATAAATCTGATATAGATAAATTATTTAACATTTGTATGCTCTGGCACTCATTAAGTTGAATGCAATGGCCACGAGTGTCCCTTGTGAGAGATTATTTTCCTCATGTGGCTTATTGCTAAATGACAAGAAAACGAGGCTGGGAACTCGAAAAGTGCAACAATTAATATTCTTAAATCAAAATTCTCACGTCTGATTTTCTCCGTATATATAAAAAACAATAACTGTAGATTAAGTGATTAAAAAAACAAAATAAAAAAACACTAAACAAAAAAAGCAAAATCTGATACATTGAAATAAAAATGAATTAAAATCTTTTAAAAACGCCAACATGGCCAACAATCTACAATGTAGTACGTTGACAGACCTAAGCCTGTGTAAAGTACGAAAGGAAGATTAAAATTCATTATTGCACAGTGCTCATGTTTCAGTAGCACGCACGTAAAGCATACTTGAAACCAAAGTTCATCCTATTCCGACAATACTAAACTTTGTGCGTACTTGATACTTTATGGACTAGGTGGAACAGATATTTGGATCGAGTATTAATTCGGAATTGGACTAGGACTAGGGGCACCTAGTACGAAATTTAACTAGTACTATCAGTACTAGTATCAGTAGTCATTTCTAATTATCAGTATTTGAGAATCAGATTATAGTCTAGTTAACCAAGCCTGTTAACCAAGCCATGCGCACTTTTGATCGTACAATACCAACCTTCCGTCCGCCAAGTAGTGCGCTAATTAGATCAGAATTATGTAAACGTGTGTACCTATGAAAAAACTATTTTTTCGTTTTAAACAAAACCAAAGACACTATGCAATAGATAATAGTATCAAAGACAAAGATATGCTCTTTTATTTTAAACCATAACCTGGCAATGTTTCTTAGAAAAAAAAAAAGAAATCACTCTGAACTTTCGGCGTTCCACGTGTCGTTTTGATGAAGATGCTCCGTCTTTTTTATAGAATTTTATATTTGTGTCTGGACTAAAAACGAAAGTGTTATACTTTTTTATATTCCTTGTAATATAGTAAACACGTAGATATATAATTTGTGGTATAAAAAGTGAAAAGTAAATTGCCAAAAGTACTTCAAAATCCGGAAGCTCCATTTTGGCGGTTGGGTCATAAATGTGTTATTTTCCAAATTCTCATTTATTTTTAGTGTAAAATGTAAGTAAAAATAGTTTTCTTACATATTTCAAATAACTTGACGTTGTATTTATTTCAAATTCACACAAAAATATGTTTGAAATATTGTTCGAAATGTCATACAGATAAAATTATTATTTTTTTTAATTTTTTAATATTTTAATATTTTGGTATGAGTAACGAATGGAAACACATAAAACATAAAAATATACATATTTCCAAACATTTTCATATAAATTTCTCTAAAAACAAAAGTGTAGAATTCAAATTAGTAGTAATTTTGTCACTAAAATTGAAGTATACTACTATGCTATACAGGGTAATTTACGTATTTTATTACAATTTCTAGCAACCAAAAATAATTTTATTCGATAGTGTTTGACTAAATAATGTATTTTGTTTATTACGCTCACATTCCTTGTATGCATTTAGTGTCCAATAGATCGTTGAACAGAGCATACGTGTTTAGTTTTATTTCACTATACCCAACCAAGTGACGACCTTATTCAAAGCAACATATGGTCCAAATTCGAGCCGGATCCAGCGACGTTTACCTGCTCCTTTAGGGGCTGCCCAAGAACAAAGATTTGAAAAAAAAGGGTCGACTTGTTAACAAGTGTTGGAGTTTAAATTCATTAGCAAGAGTTTGAGTTTAAATTCATTTCATTTTACTTTGTTAAGATTAAAGATTTTATATCTACTTTGTATAAATAATGGCTACGGAAGTGGAAAAAGCTTTGATTAAAGTGGAAAACATTGCACACACTATGAAGAAAACACAAATTAACCTGAAAAAGTGCCCAAAAGCAAGATTAACACGAAATTACGTCGAATCACGCCTTAAATGTTTAGAAGATTATTGGTGCGAATATAAAGAAGCTTACGACCAAATTATTTGCAACATATCGAGGGAAAAAAGAGAGCAAATACCGTACATTGCGCAGGAGGAGTTTTATGACCATGAAGAAATATACATTACTTTGAAAACTGAGCTCAAAGATTTGTTAGTATCCCAACAAGTTAGTGACAGTACTCCGTTATTAATATCAAGTGAATCTCAATCTCAACAAACTCGTGTAGTGCTACCCAAAATACAGTTACCAACCTATAGTGGGCATTATGAAGAGTGGTTATCGTTTCATGACTTGTTTAATACACTTGTTCACACTAACGAAACGCTTAATAATGTACAGAAATTGCATTATTTAAAAACTAGTCTTACTGGTGAAGCTGCGTCTATATTAAAACATGTACAGGTAACAGATTCGAACTATGAACAAGCATGGGACATATTAAAAAGACGATATGGTAATAAACGAATAACTATCAACGCCGTCATGAAAAAACTTTTTTCACAAAAGAAGATGACCGTAAATTCTTCAAATCATATTAAGAGTTTGCTAGATACTACGTTCGAATGTTTGCATCAGCTTAAAAACATGAAGGTAAATATTGAAAACTGGGATCCTATGATAATATTTGTGACTGTGCAGAAACTAGACTCTGAGACGCATAAAGACTGGGAAGAACACGTTAGCAACAATTGCCAAGATCCTGATAGTCTTCCATCACTCGATATTTTTCGTAAATTTTTAGAAAGCCGTTTTCGCACGTTGGAGCTCACAGAACCGACGAAACAAAGATTGAATAATAATGTCATCCAACGAGAGAAGTCGTATCACATTACAACCAACGTAGAAACATGCAAAAAATGTCAAATGTGCAATGAAAATCATACACTTAGCCATTGTAAAGTGTTCGGAAAACATTCACCACTACAACGAAGTGAATTCATTAAAACTAATAACTTGTGCTTCAATTGCCTTTCACCTGGACACTCTGTAAGGCAATGTCGTATTCCAACATGTTGTCGGTTATGCAAAAGGCGCCACCATTCTCTTCTTCACGAAAATAAGGAAAGCAACGTAAGTGAAAGCACAACAGGCAATTCTGATAAAGTACGTACAAAACAACCTGAAGTGGCTTTACATACAAACGTGGAGAAGAATGAAGGAGAGAAAGAAAGCATTACAGTGGTTGCACACAGTTCTAGCAAAGAAAGTACAGCATTACTTGCAACAGCAATTGTAATAGTAAGAAGTGAAGACAATTATATGACCACGCTGCGAGCATTAATTGACCAAGGCTCCCAAGCTAGCTTCATAAGTGAACGTGCTGCACAACTACTCAAGGCTAGGAGATATCCAATTAGGGGTGCGGTCATTGGTGTTGGATCAACTAGAGAAGATTTAAAACAAGTCGTTCAAATCAACGTACAGTCGAGATGCGCAGCTTACAACCTAGAAGTCAGAACTTATGTTATGTCAAAACAACTTACAACTAAAATACCTTCGCACATAATCAAAAAGGGCAATTGGCCTCATTTAGATGGGTTAGAACTAGCTGACCCAAACTACTACAAACCAGGTTCTATTGACCTGCTCTTGGGTGTTGACGTATACGCACGTATAGTGGAAAATGAATTAATCAAGGGTCCACCAGGGTCTCCGTGCGCTCATAAAACAAACCTTGGCTGGATTTTATTCGGAAATATAGATGATAGACCACAACAAGCAGAGTCAGTACTGGTTATGCATCATCAGATCATAGCAGAAGATTTCTTAAAGGCAATTTGGGAAATAGATCAAGATTCAAAAAGAAAGCACACCAAAGAAGAAAAACGATGTGAAAAATTCTATGAAGAGAATTATAAAAGAAACAGCGAGGGAAGATACATTGTGGGACTTCCATTTCGTTCCAATGACATTGTTACACCGGACGGAAATACGAGAGAAATTGCAATGAAGCGCTTGATTCAGCAAGAAAAAAGACTATATAAAACACCGGATTTAAAAGAAGAGTACGACAAGGTATTAGAAGAATACTTAGCAATGGGACATATGGAAGAAGTTCCGAAAGATGAAATAAACAATCGTTCTGTTTATTTACCACATCATGCCGTTATTCGAAGAGATAAGGAGACAACTAAAATCAGAGTTGTATTTGACGCTTCGTGCAAAGCTAATAATGGCATATCTTTGAATGATGAGCTCATGACTGGACCGGTACTCTAAGATATGCGAAGCATAATAATGAGATGGCGCATGCATAGGGTATGCTTTTCAAGTGACATAATGAAAATGTACAGAATGATTCTCTTGGAGAAGAAGGATACAGACTACCACAGAATACTCTGGCGTCGTAACACCACAGGCAGAGCTGGTGACCAGCTAGCGGATGTTAAAGATTACAGATTGAAAACTGTCACATTTGGTACAGCATGTGCACCTTACCTAGCTGTCACAACTTTGATGAAACTCGCAGATGATGAGGGTGAAGAATATTCTGAAGCTGCTAGAATTATTCGTGAAGACTTTTACGTCGATGACTTGACTTCAGGCTGTGACACAACAGAACAAGCAACTCGTATCAGCAAAGAAATCATGACAATTCTTAAACGAGGTGGATTTGAACTTCAGAAATGGGCCTCAAATGATCCTGAGTTTTTAAAATCGATAGAACCAGACCGAATCACCA